GGGAGTGGAAAGAAGCTCAAAGATGCTTGAATACAGGAATACCGACAGCAGTCTTGAGATCCATAGGCTTTGTTGTACTGCTTATAGTGCTAACAGGCAGGAGCTGTGCATACACCAGCCAGGGATGGGATGGTACCACCACCCTAGTGACAAGATTGCATGGAACTTCTGCAGGCTGGGGCCTGCTAAACTTCTCATTCCTGAAACTGGATTTTTCCATTTGATCAATTCCTAGTGTGCTAATCAAAGTGGCATCACTCTTGAAAATAGCCTAGAGGAACAAACAATATTATATATTGAAATGGAGTAAAAACCAGGCAAAGGAATGGGTGAGGTGCAGCATCTACCAACAAGTATTGAGCTGCCTTGCTCAGGGCAGTGTCAGTTTAAAAAAAAAATAAGGTAAGGGTTGAAAAGGGAGTGGAATTTATTATCTAGGTTCAGCTATGTCTACATGGGTTGAGCACGGCTGTGTAAAATATGTCTTGTCTGAACACTCAGTCTCCACTACGGTTGGTCAGATTCAGGTGAGGTGATGTCAGGCGGTAGATGCTCATTGGCCCCCTCAGGGGAAGAGAAGGGTAGGGCACACCTGGAAGCAGGAAGGTTAAGTCACTCACCTCTGTTCTCCTACAAGCAGTATTGCAATGTGGGAGATTAGATATGTAATCTGTGCTGCCACCAAAGTGGTAAACGAACAAAGAAGGTTGCAAAAGGAACGGAAACTCATTCAAATGAAATTGTATGTGAAAGTGAGCAGAAAATGCACTGCAGAAAATAATAAAAGAGTAAAAACTTTAAAGCTAAAGGAGCTGAAATTTTATAAATTCTTAAGTATTACTGCATTGCCAGAGCTATTTTCTGGACATTAACAATGTCTCCCCACTTTCTAATGAATGTAAAGATTATACCTACAATTTTTTAAGTAAGACTGTCGTATATTAGGAGATAATTTTGGAAAAATTCTTACTTTCATTTTTTTCTCTTTCCTTTAAAAAAAATAAATCCATTTTTTAACTCTCCAAAGTTTGGTGAGAATTCAAGAAGTTGTGGGAGTATGCAGGGCTGGGTCCACCCAAAAAGATCACTCATAGTTTAAAGCAGTTACCAAATGTATAAGTATCCCATATCCCTGAAACTTCATCTCTGAAGCTAGAACAGGTTTGCTATGTTCAAAAGCCCTACCCTTCTTTCCAACCAAATATTCAAATTGTAACACCCAGGGTTGTCTGAAGAAACCAGCTATGTTGTCTAGAGAACAAGCTACTTTTTCCTAAAGATATTCCTAATAATTCTAAAATACCTAAAAGTTAGCTGGATATTTTCAAGAACAAATACACACCTTTGTTGTACAGAATGATCTAATCATGATTCATGAGAAGGGGACCACTGCAACTCTAAACACCTCTGTTTGGTTCCCGATTCCACCGCTGATTTTGTCCCCATGATATTCAAGGTCATCCAGTCTTCTTATACCTTATTTTCCCAGTTGTAAAATGGGGCTGATTTTTCATAACTCAGACTGAAAGAAAGAACACTGAGATCCTTATGTTTTCAGTATGGTAGGACAGAGAACTTGGGCTGCACAGACATAATTTAAATCCATTGATTGTTTCCCTTGACTGTGTTCCTGCTTGCCCTGCTATAGGTTATTAGAGAGGTCACTGCCACCATTAGTCCAACGTATTCAAACATGAAGTTCTGACATGATGACACAGGTGCACCTGGGGAAAAGAGGTACAGATTAGAGCTCAGCTGTGAATTTTTCACAACGACTGTAGATGAAGAACACTAGGAAATGTTTTATTTCTCCTAAACAGCTTGACTCCAGAAGTACCAAAGTTATACTGACCTAACTGGCTTTGTAAATGCCCAGAAGCAAGAAACTTGTATGTGATTGCTGCCAAGCAATTGCTTTGTAGATGTGGGACTGAAACGCAAGGCTTGATAAGTGTAATGAGATCTTAGATGCACTTCGCAGTAGGCTTGCAGCCGGTGCTATCACAGAAAAGGCTGTTCATGAAGTTAAACTCCTGATAGATTTGCCTCAGAACCTGCAATTCTGAAATGTGCCCTTCTGAAGAACAGCCAAAACTACATACCCATGGAGGTCAAAAATCCCATCCTTTGGCTGAGACAGTTTTGAGATGTGCACTCTCACATTAGTCTGCCTTCCAAAGAAAAAGGCTGTAGAGAGATGTCCTTTTCCTCCTGATGCTCCACACCTTCCTTGTAAGATACTGGCATGATTGCAGGTGTTGCAGGTGAGATGCAGCCACAAACTGCTGAGATTGAGCACAGATTCCTCCTGCAAAGAGCCACGTGTGAAGATAGAAGTAAGTCCTGAAAGAAAACAAGAAGAGGAGGCAGCAGAAACATAACGCATCCCCAGAGAGGAACCTGCAGCTCCAACACGTGGATCCAGGTGCTGACAGTCCTGCATACGAAGATGTAACTCACAGCTCTGGAATCCCAAGCTGGAATTTGCTCTGGGATATGTCCCTGCAAGCTTGGCGTGCCTGACTGGCCGGCAGCCACCGAGAGAGCGGTGCCTCGCTCCCGGCACCTCAGAGCCGGCTAGATCACGCTTCAGGCACAAAGTACTTACCATGGTGCTCGTGAGGGTAATGGCATCTAAGGGTGATTAAGACTGCACATTTTCCAAAACATCTGGAGCAGCTGAGCTACTTAAGCCACTCCTGTCCCGTGCTCTAGTTCTCCTCTGGGATCACAACAGGTGTCTGTATACCAGATATTCGTAATTAATTGCTAGAGTGCATGATTGCTTGAGCCAAGTGTGTGCTCCTAATCCTTGCTCTGCATCTTCTGACTTTCTTATCTCAATGATTTCCTCATGTGAAGTGGTGTAGGCCAATACACAAGGTGTCTAGCAGCTGGAACTCACCTGCACTTTCAGTATTCACGTATCTACAGAATCACAGAATCGTTGAGGCTGGAAAAGACCTCTGGGATCATCAAGTCCAGCCTATGATTCAATCTTAATAATAAAGAGCTGGTAGCTGGTTTTCCTCCCTGCTTGGCAACATAATGGCTGTCTTACATTGCTCCTTGGTGCTCCTTTCTACTGGAATTTTGCTTTGCTGTGGGCATCAGTCAAACAGAATTTATCCCACACAAATTCAGTGTTTCCACTGGGCACGCAGAGGCTAGAACTTCAGTAAGGAAGAACCTGCTCTTTTTTTTGCCATTCAGACTTAGCAAAATACAGCTGAATCCTTCTCAAACACAGTTTGCCTGACTAATATCAGCATAACACCTTCAAGGCATTAGTCAAATAGACATTGCAATATTGTAAATAGCAAAAAATCTAAATGAATAATCATATGAAGTACTTATGAGAGCATTCAGAATACTGACCTCTTTAAAATACTGCAGCTAATACCTGAGCTGATACCATGTCTTCTTTACAACTCTGCCAAAATAATTTCAACCCTGTGTAAGCCAAAAAAAAAAAAAAAAGGAAAAAAAAGAACAGCTGTGTCTCTAGTAGCACTTTCTTATTGAGGCCTTCCATCTAAATTTGTTTTTTGCTAAGTTAAGTCTTCATTGCAAAGGAAATACTAACCGATAGTAAATAACGGGAAGGGCCTTTATTGCTGTAGCAAAAGGACAGAGTAGCATTAAAATGCTCCCCCCAGACATGCTCATTTAAATAAAGGGTATATGTGAGAATGAAGAAAAAGAGAAGTGGCAGGAGGTGAGTTACTCATAAGTACTCATTTTAAAAACATTATCTAAAGTATTCTAGCAATGAGTCAATTACAGAGAGGAACAGGCTATGTTTTCTCAAGAAACAGAACTATTAACTTAATTTGCTAGAAATGCTCAGGGAAATTGTATTTCATGAAAGTTCAAGTTTCTCCAAGTGGACTGGTGTGGTAGAAGACCATTCTTCTGAAGGCAGAACCACTGGAAAAGTGTAACTTTTATATTACATTTATTCCAGCAGAAGTTTCAGAAATTAGTAAAGGTCAGTTGTTGTCATTATTTAGCTTCATATTTTCTAAAATTTCTATTCTTGCAGAATTTTGATTTTTTTTTCTGTTGAAAATACAGATGAAATTTAATGAATAGAAAAGTATTTATTAGTGTTGTCCATGCATAAAGATAACAGACAATGAAACTTCGAAAGAATATACAGGCAGTGCCGAGAACAAGCGTTTAGTTGCTTAAGCAAGGAATCCAGTACTGATCCTATGTACCAACTTGTATAAGCCATTTTATCTCTGCATCTCTGTTTACCTGCTAGAAAAAAAATGAGTAAAATGTACTTCATACTATAGGATAAAAGAGAGAATTGAATTTTGCAAAGTTTTCTAGCATCCTTTTATGACGACAGAAAGCTGAAGCTTCGCAAAATTATGGAAAAATCTGAAAATCTTGTTGCCCATCATTATTAAAATGAGAAAAAACTAATGATAATGTAGTTCCATACAAAAATATTGGTTGCGCTGCCTGAGAAAGCTAGTCTGTAGAGTTACGAAAGTCTTTTTAAAACTGCTGTATAAGCAACACTTTGCCTAACTCCTGTGAAAGCTCAATTTTTGACTCAAGGTTAGCTTTTATATAGAAATCTAGTTAACAGAGAGAGAGAGAAAATATTTTTAATATATTTTGAAGTTTATTTTTCTTAGTAATTTTTAGTTTAAATGTATTGTACATAAGCAAAAAGTGCATAGCACTGAATTCATGACTTTGGCTGGCACAGCTCAAAGAGGGGCAAGGAGATTACTCATATACTTCTGTGAACACTATGTAACATCCTTGGGTAACAGCTGTGTAGCAATCTGCATGCAAATAAAAAACTGTAACATTTTCAACTATGTCAAGCGTAGCCTGCTACATATATACAAAATCCAAAAAAATATATTCCTTTTTTTCTTATATACACTATATAACATGAGAATAAAATCTAGAATAGTTTGCAGGAACTTAGATGAGACTGGACTTTCATGATACAGAGCTTTAGAAACACTTCCTCAGCACTTTTTGTCTTGGACCATTGTGATAAAAAACTTGCACAGAGAAAGGAAGCCTTCTGGACAGTATTCCTCAGCCACCTTACTCTGATCAATATAATCTATGTCTTCGACACAGTCTTGAGGACTGTGGTCTAGCTTTTTTTCAGTCACGGGGGCAGCTGCCAGAGTCTGAACCACTTCTTTCGCACGATGAATTGTGTTTCCCTTTGCAGGACTCTCTGATGTTAGCAGGCTTGAGCGCGTCAGCTTGAGATGAGCACTTTGTGGGCCTTTCCTACAAACTTTAGATTTCAGGACACTTTTAGGGTCTTGACAGATCTGCTTCTGCTTCTTTAGGGATCGAGAAACTTGCTTCCAGTAGGATTTCTGGTTTGCTGCATACTGTGCACAGGTGGAAGGGTGTCCAGAGAATTCACACCAGAACTCGCTGTCACCGTGCTTGCACTCTATGTGCACAGTAGCAGCATTCATGTCAGTCACTGCCCAGGTGCACTCAGCATTTTCCTTGGTTTTAAACTTGCCTTTAGGAGCTGATTTTCCTCCTTTTGACTTCTGCCCTTTTTCATTATCTTGGTTAGATTCAGTTTGGTTTTTTCCACTGACCTCTATTCCCTTTCTTCCCTTTTTTCGTTCCTTATGTCTTTCAGAGTTGGCTAGTAGCACCTGGGAGACTAGAATCAACACACAAAGGAGTCCAAAACTTTTGATCTTCATGGTCTCTGTTTTGCTTGTTACCTGCCTTCAAAACAAACAAACAAACAAAAATATAAAAACATTTTCATTTCAGGCTGGACTCTGTTTGACAGTTGCAGTACTTCAGACACAGTAATTGCACTGCTCTTGGATAGCTCTTAAAACGATGTTACTGGCAAAATCCTTTGTCCTTTGTGTGAATAACACCTGGTTTCTAGAACCACTATGTAATATCCTTGAGAACTGTAGATGGCTGTGGAGTAAGTCCTTCTGATCCAATTGCTCGATTATCTATGCAATGTGGAACAGAAGAGAGTTACTCCCAGGATGTGCAACTGCCCAGTGATCTTGTTCTACAGTCAGAGTAGAAATTGAAACCTGAGATTTGTCAACCTTAGACAGGTATCTTAAGTTATAAGACATAAAAAGTTGTTGTTCCCATGATCTTCCTTTTTGTAAACGGCACATAAGTCATATTGACTCCATCCTCTGGCCATTCTTCAAAAACATGCCAGACAGAAGGGAAATCATTTGGTTCAAGTTGGGCAAAATTATTTCATAGGTATTCTGGAAATTGTCTTTATTTGCTTGCTATGCCAGTATTTCAGTTCCCTGTTGAAAAAGAAAAGGTTAGTAGACTTTCCAGACACCAAAAAGTAACTATTGATTCTTTGCTGCCCTGGCTGATAAACTAATAGAACTATCCTTTTGCTTTTGAAGACACCTGCAGTGTACTGGGCTGTGTATAAAGCTACCAAACCCAAGGGGTAAATGTGCAAGTTCAGATCTGAAATATAGCTAGTTAGCAAATCATTAACAAGCTGATCCCTACGTCTGTGCAGAGCACATTTATTTCCGTCGGTGTTTCTCTTTATGAAGTTGCTTTCCCGATCAGAGCATACTAAAATAGTAGAGAGTTTAGAGCTGGCATTTAGTTAATTAAATCCCTAAATGTATTTTTTTCAGATGTTTCCACCATAGCTACTTTTGTAGCCAAGTTTCCATGTTAGAAAGCAGAAATTCATGTGTAGGCATGTTAATAAAGAACCTATTTCAACATTCAACTGTCTGCAAATATCTTTAGTTACATTAAGATAGAATATATAGGAAGCACCAGATGGGAGCAGGTCCTATTTCTGTATAGTTCTTGTTACTTGACTTGCTTCATGACTTATACTACATACAGAGATTTTCACTCCATAAATCCCTCTTTAGAGAACATCATGTAGTATGTACAGTTCTGTTGCAAACACAGGAACAAATAACATTAAAAGGAGTAATGATGTGACAGTTACCTCCTGCTGCAAGTGGAATAGTGCGAAAGTAAGAAAACTAAGACATACCTTGCACAGGGCTTGGCGATACCCAAATGCAACTCCTGATGCAACTGGCCTCTTTCAAAAAGAATCAGAGCTAGTTGTAAAAGCAGCGAGGTATTTATAAAGGCAGAGACACACCTTCAGGTCTCCAGCAAAACTATTACAACACAATAGGATACTTCAGTGCCATGTTCGTTTAACTCTGACACACCTCCTTGGAAAAGTGCCAGTTCTCACAAGAAAACCCCAAACAGCTACGGTGGGGTGACAAGGTGTGTGTGCGTAAATTAGACGTTGCTTTAGCCAAGTCCTTCCCGCTTCATGAACAATAAGAACTTTATTAGATCATGAGCTTCTCTAAAAGAGCTTTTCCCAGCCACTGAGGGATGTTTCTCCGACACCCTCAGCAAGCTGCACTACCACTGTGTTTAGCAGAATTTGGGGAGTAGCATTCAGTGATTCTTTGTGAAATGAAAACCATTCCACACAGAATTTCAAAGTTACCTTTTGAACATGTCATTACCTCCTGTCACAAAACCGTGTTGGAGAATATTTAACAATCAAAATAGTTAATTGCTCTGCATTAAAGACAGTATTCATGAAGTTCAGGAAGGACAAGTGTAGAGTCCTGCATCTGGGGAAGAACAATGCCAAGCACCAGTACAGATTAGGGGTCGCCTTGCTGGAAAACAGCCCCGTGGAGAAAGACCTTGGAGTTCTAGTGGACAGTAAGTTGTCCATGGGACAGCAATGTGCCCTTGTGGCCAAGAGGGCCAATGGGATCCTGGGGTGCATTAAGAAATGTGTGTCCAGAAGGTCTAGAGAAGTTCTCCTCCCTCTCTACTCTGCCCTGGTGAGATCACACCTGGAATATTGTGTCCAGTTTTGGGCTCCCCAGTTCAAGAGAGACAGGGATCTGCTGGAAAGACTCCAAGAGAGAGCTACGAGGATGATTAAAGGACTTGATCATCCCTCCTATGAAGAGAGACTGAGAGAACTGGGGCTGTTTAATCTTGAAAAGAGAATGCTGAGAAGGGGTCTTATTAATGTACACAAATATCTGAGGAGTAGGTGTCAAGAGGAAGGTGTTGGTCTCTTTTTGGTCATGCCCAGTAATAGAACAAGGAACAATGGGTGTAACCTAGAACATAGGAAGTTCCATCTCAACACGAGGAGTAACTTCTTTACTGTGAGGGTGACGGAGCACTGGCACAGGCTGCCCAGAGAGGCTGGGGGGTCTCCCTCTCTTGGGGCCACTTTTCCTGTGTGGCTGCCCTAGGGGATCCTGCTCTGGCACGGGCGTTGGACTAGATGATCTCTAGAGGTCCCTTCAAACCCCAAACATTCTGTGATTCATTGCAGAGAGATGGTCACAAGCACACATCTCAGAAATAAATTTGATTTCCCTAAGAATTGGTGGCTGTATGGGGTCTAAGAGCTAGCAACAACTGCACAGCATTGCTCTATGTTGCTCCCTCCCTGCCAGCTTTTGTGTTTGTAAAGATGGGGGTTACATGAGATTTCATTATTGGACCACATCCAATGTATATTAACCTGAAAAAGATGATGTCTGTGACAGAACAAGCATTAAATAAATATAAAAATGCATTCTGAGTTAGGAATCCCCTAAGGAATAGAGTAGCAAGCACCTTTCTAGCTTGGTTGCTTCTTATGGTTTTACTGGAGAAAAGTGGAATACTTGTTATAAATACCTGAGAAATACTTGCAAAATAAAAATGGGATGCAAGAAGAGACCCAAGTAGAAACTGGTGTATGATATTGGCAGGTCTTCTAGTTTGACTCTTTCCTATCAGATAAGACTGGAACGAGACAAAGCAACAAAGCTACAGGAAAAGCATTGTCTGTACTGTTTTGGTGATGAGGGGAGAATTTTCTGTAAAAAAAAAAAATCAGAAGCAAAAAAGGAAAAAAAAGTGGAATCCTACAATGAGCGCTGGACAGAAATGTGAGGAACGGGATTAATTTACTTGAAATATTACGGGTCTGACGTGTGTGCTGGGAATCTATGTATATTCAGCTATATATGCTTTCCGATTAAGTTCAGCCAGCAGATCTGCCTTGTGCACCTTTAATTGGCACGGGATAGTACGGAACAATTCACAGCAGTCCACTAAATGTGAAAGATTTATGCTTACCACTGGCAAGGACTAATGAATAGTGGTAAGGATGACTTAAGGATCAGAAAATGTTTAACAGTGTGTCAGGCTGTATGGGAATCCAAAAATGAGGATAATGTAAGAGGTAAGTAGAAAGAGACTATCTTGCTCAGGAATCCTAAACTAACACCACATGGGATGCACAGGATGATGTGGAGCATTAGTATTTAGCAGGGATCCTCAAAACTGTGAGCTGAACTAATGTTGCTATGTGGCCTGGCTAATAAGCCTCTCGTCAGGGCAAATTATTCTGGGGACAGTGTCAAACCAAACTGGCTATGCTACCTCAGGTTCTGGCACTATTTCAGGTATGGCTTTATCATGTCCCGTTGCCTTGTGCAAGCATACTCTAAATTGATTTCTGTGTGACAGATTCCTGGGTTGGTACAGGCGTATCACCAAAACCACCCCCATCACACCACCAACACACACCTCCTTACTGTGGCTGGACAATGTCTACAAACTGAGTAGAAGGTCACAAATTATGTAAGGAACCACGGGCAACGGGGCCAAGCACAAGGTTGACAGTAAGGAACTACACATTCCTGTCTCAGCTCTACCACAGACAGAGATATTACCTAGGACATGCCAGATATGCTTGCATTAAGGCAACACTGATAGAGCTAACATCAGCAGATGGGGGTAAGAAATGAGATGCAGCCCTCTTCTAGTTCTAATCCTCCTTCTCATAAAGATAAGATTTTATTTTTATCTTAGTAGGAATTCTAAATGACTTACATAGGCACTTTTTTTATTTTTTCTGATGTATACACAGTGATCTCCATTGAATTACTTTTACAGGCAGGAAAAACCTAATACAATAGGTCCTGCATAGGCGAAGGGAACCAAGATCAGCTGAGAGTTATAGCGTGGTTTGGAACATTTTAAGTATTGACTAGATCAGTGGTGAAATTCTTCCACACCGTGGTGTGGCTGCAGAGTGATACAGGGTAAACGTGAATTGAGTTGAAGACAGACTATATATGGGCCAAGATCTGTTATATTAGGAAGATTCTTTCCTGGCTGCTGACTACATTTCTTGAGGTTATGTCTGGGATTTTGTAAACCATATCTGATCCGAACTGATGGAATCAACGGTATTTTTTTCAAGAAAGATGCAGCAATCATCTTCTCTACCTTTTACTTTGAGAAATCAAAGCAACTTAGATTTCCTTCCTAGTTTTTCTCTAATACAGTCCTGGTCAGAAAAAAGGGACTCTCAAAAGTCTGGTTTTGATATCAGTCATAGCTTTGGTCTTTGTTTTTAGGATCCTTTCCATGAAGCTTAAAGCTCTTCCGTAAATTAATTAAGCTGGACCACTAAATATACATGTGCATAGATACACAGATCTCTATATGATATAACACAGTATAATGCAATAAATATAATGCAATAATATAATAACTATAATAAATAGCATATAAATATAATTAATATAATGAAGACAATAAATATACTAACTATAATAAATATAATAACTATAGATACATTGACTGTTTTTCTCCTTTTCACTATAGCTCATTA